CTGCAAAAATAATAAAAGATGATTCAAGGCTAAAACGTTTGCACGAAGAGGCGATCGAAGAATGTGATAAGCTTTGGAAAAAATTGAAATCGCCTAAAAATCGCGAAGCTTAGAAAAAGTATTTAAAATGTGCCTTAAAACGCCCTGTTGTAACAAAATGGAACTCCTTATATGACTGTCTTAAGCAAATAATTTCATTAGAGGATAAATTAACTGCAATTAATACATACAGCAACATGTCGATTTTGAAGTTAGTATCAGGGAGCCTCATTTTAGATACGATTTTAGATAAGAGATTATTTAATGTGTATGGAGCCCTTGCCTGTAGGGATTGATAAGGCTCAAGCAGAGACAACTTGTTACTATGGTTGCTTATTACCATTACTAAGCATAAAAAACAAATGGACTGCAATTCTCAGAGATAATAGGATAATATATTGTAAAAAGTTAGTGGAAGAAATGCGCGCGCAGCAAAGATTAATTAACAGATTTAATGACTTCTTTGAAATTGATGGTCATGGAGAAACTGCTGCTCTTGCTACAATTACACATCCACAATTCAAAGACCGATGGTCATCTTGCCTGAGTGATGATAAAATATTAAAAATACAGCAACTGGTCAGAGCAACGTTTAGTGTCTCCGAAGATGAAAGTAACGAAATTCTGGATGAAATAGAACAAAACGATTTCTTTTATTTTGGTGAAGGTTCTACTGAGGCCAATAGAAAATTGCAAATTTTCGCATACCCAGGACAGAATTCAATAGAAATGTGCCAATTTTTGAGTAATTCTATTAGAGCCTTAGATGTGTTACATCAATTCCCACGAGTAAAACAATTATTTATTAAGTACAGTACATGTATACCTTCGTCAGTACCTGTTGAGAGACTGTTCTCATATGCGACTATGATGAATATCGCTAAATATAATAGATTAACAGATGATTTCTTCGAAAAACGAGTTCTTTCAGCTGCAAATATGAAGAAGAGGTATGTACTATGTAAAGAGATGAATTTTGATGACAAGTGTAAAAATGTGCGATATTTAGATTCAATTCCTTCTTTCTTCTATTTTCAGTGTATAGAAACATTGCGATTCTCCAGTATCAGGAAGCATCATTTACAATAAATATGTTAATTGTTTACTATTATACATAGTATAAAAGATTATTATTACTGTTTTTATTACTTGTACGTACATAAATATATCATTTAATTAATAAACAAATGGAGATCGATGACGAATAAATCCCTATGTTATTATCATTTCCTAGTTACTGTTTTGAGGAAAGTGCATAAATTGTGAGAAATCGATTATCTAGGTTCATTTCAGGCAATTTCAGCTCTCAAATATTTGAAAGTACTTATATCCTAAAGATTTAGGGTATCTATTTTAAAAAACGAAAAAAAAGTCGATTTTGCGAAGCCTATGCTAAAGCGAGAACACTTCCTTAAATC